TCAGGGGTATATTATATATATTAAGTAAGTAATAATACTGTCCAATATTGTTTCTCACTAGAAATTTTCAGAATGTTTATCACAAAATATCTGCAAGATAGTTTTGTTATCACGTCATCAGCTTGCATATGCCAATGATATGCTAGCACACACACAGATTGCTCTGCTTTCTTCTCCCATGGAGGCTGGTCCAGCCAGTCTCTCTGAATTCAGTGTTGATTTTTGTCTTATCTTCTCGTATTCCCCCTCTCCGACACTTCTGTAATTTGTTTTACTGGTTCCAATGAGTCCTCTCCCAGGTCTGGCCATGCTCCCACAGATAAACATAGAGTAATTTGAGGGTCAGAATGTGTACACAACCAAACAACCAACCAACTTTTTGTGTAACCCCTTCAGTTATGTTGAACACACCTTTTTGAGTCTCCTATCTAAAGGCAGGAATGTTGGAATCATGTTGAAGTTTCGTTTACAAAAGCATTGCTTCCCTCCCTGAAGTTTTAGAGCTGGTCCACATTTTTCATTTCCATTGTAAACTAGAGGGTGGTGCAAGACATTCGTGCACTTGGGGTGTATGGGGGGGGGGGGTGGAAATGGGTCCCTCAGCCTGGCCTGCACCCTTACCTGGTCTGGGAGCCCTCTGGAGATGTCCATCTGATGACTTCTCCACCTCCTCCTGCTCCTGAGGGGTGATTGGGGCTGGCAGCTGCCACTTGCACTTACTGATGACACCAAGCAATCAGGGCCGGCATCGGGCACCAGCAGTGGGTGAGAGTGGGGCTGGCAACGGCAGCAGGCGTGAGTGCCGGCGGGACTATGACACGTAGGAGCAAATAATTTTCAGTAACCACCAAAGGCTCCCTCCTTACACCCCAACCCCCCATGACAGCAACCAGTGCCCTGCCTTGGTCTGGTGTCCCTATTCACCTATTTCACCATACCACCATGGCAAATGCCTGCCATGTTCCGCACATGCTCCCCTGGTGGTCAGTACATGTCATAGCAACCACTTGTTCAGAGTTTGGTTGTTTTGCCATTCTATTTGCATATTAGGGTTTTATATATATAGATATCCACCTCTTTTCCTAACTATTTTCAACATGAGTGGTTTGTGAGGTGCAAATACATCTAAACTTTCTAGTTGTTTAAATTATAAATCAGTTCTAGCCCTAAATGATAGTAAGTCAAACATTTATTACCTCAATTCTCTTATCTGTACTGGTTCCAATACTGGTTCCATATATTGCTTGTCAAGCCTATACACTAAAACATATTTAAACATAAAAATAGGAATAAATGAGGAAAGTGCCAGTTTATTTGTTGCACAACTAAGTTGCTTTCCACCTGCTTTTTAAAAGTGAGTCTAGCTAAGAGGTTAGAGTGGATTCTGAGGGGCAAAGCTGGAGGAAATCAGATCAGACAGACCAGCAAGCCACTTAATGGTCTTCGCAGGAAAAGCTAACAAAAACACAATACCCAGATAGTGAATGCATAACCAATACTTTTAATTAAAAATAGGGATCAGTGTAGAGTGAGGAGATAGATGATCAGGTGATGGGGTGTGTGTGGAGGTGCTGAGGTGTGGAGTGTATGTCAGATAATCCAGCTGGCATCATGAGCCGTCAGTTGTAGGGACAGCTGAGAGTGATTCATTCGCATTGTCTTTCTCGTGTTTCATAGTGGGTTGTGTCTGGGACTCACAGGACAGTCAAATAACATAGCAATTGCTAATGGAGCCAAGTGGTGAGATTCAACAGTGGTACAGACACCCCACCCTCAAATCTGTATGTCTGTTGGATGACTTCTTTCCATCATAAGGGCAGCTAGTAGTGCTTTTGGAAACTACTTGTGAAATCTGAGCTTTAAAAAGTAAAAGATTTCATTTACTTTAGAGCAAATAGGAACGAGATGATTCTTAATATTTCTAATAGATTCACTGGTGATTTAAGATGTGCTAAATGTAAGGGAACGTGATAAGTAACCACCATGGGGTGAAAGATGAGGTAACTAACTATAGTTACAACAAGTGGTCATGTGATGATGAGATTTATGTCTATGCATATATTATCAGGCTTAATTTTATGACATTTATTTCATTTTCCATTTAAACTACTAATGAAATACTTTATAATGTAGAATACTAAAATCATGTTAAATTAATGCCATTTCTGCCAGAATAAAATACTGTAATTACTAAACAGTAGAAATGTAGTTGTTTATATTCCTTAAACACCACTGCAATTAAGGCATCATATTTGTTGTGCTTTCTTTAGAATCTGATTAGTGATTTTTAATCCTTTTTAAAAAAACTCTTCATTTTCTCAGTTTATTGCACAACTTAAAAAAAATTCTCTCAATAGTCCAAAAAATTCTATAGAGTCATAGACTACAGAACTTAGAATCTAAGACTATGCAGAATGGGTATAATTTTAATTTTGGTATATAACTCAGAATCTAAGACTATGCATAAATAGGTGTAATTTTAACTGATTTTTTTTTAATTTTCTAATGTTTAATTGTTATAAGTGCAAGTACACAATATCCAAAAAAGATACGGGTGAGGGGGGTGAGGAAGGAGAATAGTGTGTAGATAAAAAGGTCATGATTGGTATATACAGTTGGCTATGGGAAGCCTTTGAAAGTTCAAATCTTGTTTGGCTATTAAAGTGCCATCCCTGGAAATTATTCCATTTGTTACTAATATTTATGGAAATTTTAAAGATATATTTTCATATCAGTTGATAGCTTTTCTCTTAATTCATAGAAACACAGAAGCATAGTGTTCTAAGGTTTTGTGTGTTTTTCCCCTTCCTTACTTTTGCTAATTAATGCCCCCATTGGAATACTTTTTTCTTAATACCCACATAAATATTCTCAAATAATATATTTTTAAGCATCTACTATGTTAAGATTTTATTTTTAGTTTTTACCATCTTAACTTTTTGTTAAGTTTATTGGGGTAACATTAGTTAGAAGATTATATAGGTTTCAAGTGTATGATTCTATGATACATTATCTATATATTATATTGTATACCTACCACCCAAAGTCAAATCTTCTTTGGTAACCATATATTTGACCCCCTTTACCTTTTACTACTCTCCCACAACTCCCTTCCCTCTGGTAATCCCCATAACTGGTGTCTGTGTTTATGAGTTATTGTTTGTTCATCTTTCTTGTTTTTTTTTTTAAATAAACACTATATACTTACAATAAACACTTTCTAAGTAAATTTACTTCTTCTTCATTCTGTAAGGATAAATAAAAAAATAGTTCTAGGTGGTATTATTCCCATATCCTAGAGTCTTCTATGTTATGCTAATTTGGTAATGGCCAATGTAACAACATGTCAGGGATAAGTTTGTTTGAACAGTGTGGTCAATAGGCTACTATAGTGAACTTAATCTCTGTATTTTTAGTGTCAGAGATATTCATGATCCTAAGTAGTCCCATGTGTGGCTATTAAAGGTAAAAAAAAAAAAAAACCAGCAGGTGCATGGCTCCAATTGCTGCGTGAACAATTGTAGAAACATTTATAAAAGCTGGCTCTTAAGTGACAGTTAAATGCAGAGTTGTGTTAAATTCAGGATGCTGAAAGCTTAAAAGCAAGTAGATCAAAACAAGAGAGATTAAAAATTCATAAATACAAATTACAGCTGTGTTAGTATGTGACAAAAAAAAAGTTTTGCCTTAAAAGTGATCTTCCCCAATCTCCTCAAGAAACATGTTATCACAATTTATGGAAAAAAATTAAAGACAAATTGGGAATGTTCCATTTCTTAACTTGTCTGGCATGGATTTTAGAAAAATGGAGAGAGGGCTGCTGGTAAAGTAAGATACAATTGAACCCTCTATTATAAACAAAAATGACACCACATAATTACTGATATAAAATTTTCTTGATTATTAATATAAAATGTTTAATCTTAAGTTAAAAAAAAACATGCACACAAAACTAGTCACTAAACATACCCTTTCATGCATGGTCTTTTCTACCTCACAAGATTCCCTTGTATGACTTTTAGAGTAGTTCCCTTGCTCAGAGTTGGCATATATTGATTTTCAATTTTCACTGTCCAGAGCCATATTTACAGAAAGATGTACAAATATTGTAGATGGTAGGCTGGTGCAACCCTCACATGATTAAAACTTCAATTCCTTGGTTTTCTAGGACTTTGTGTAAATGCCAACAAATTTGAGAGTTCATCCAACTGTGCCTCTTAACCTTTGTTCCCGAAGGTGAAGGGCAGCATTTTTAATCAAGTAGCAATTTATCTTTAATTAGGAAAATATAATTAAGTATTATCATCTAATTGCTATTACTGGTTGGGGAATGTCACATTTCACAAGTAGTGACCCGTGCTGGATTACCGTTCTTTTGTTATGGAATTTAGCCTCTGTGCTTGCATCTGGTGGACAGCCAATAAAAATTAAAAGGTAATCACCACGCATCTCTGTAGCCCAGCTATCAAAGTCACCAATCCCGCTGCTGAATAAGAACCTAAGATATATTTTCTGAGCCACAGATTTCTGCTCAGACACCAAGTATAGGTCAAAATAATTGTGTGTGTGTGTATGTGTGTGTGTGTGTATATATATATATATATATATATATATATATATATATATATATATATTAGAGAACTCGTCCACACTTCATTTCTGGTACAGTTAAAAACAGTTTAATGTCTCAAGGCACCACTATGGTTGAACATCAGATACACAGGTAATCAGCTAATCTTCTACTATGCCATAAAGTCAATAAATAGCTTGTGCAATTGTGAAAAGCAATCTCTAGAGGGTTGTTGGATATATAGTAGGCACATGTATCATCATACAAATAGAAAACAATGACTCCTAGAAAAAGCATGTTGAGCACCGTTGTGGCATTGTTTGTGTTTTTCTACCTAACATGAAGCAGACCTTACATTTACAAAAAGAAAAACTAATTATTAAAAGGTACACTCAGGGTTGCTTTTTTTGCTGTATCCAAGTAAGTGAATCTAGTTCGTGGGTGTACTTTTTGAAGCTATTGCATCAGGGTCAGCTTCTGTTGCGCTGGTAGGCTCATTCAAATGCGAGCTCAAGTTTTCAGACGTTAGGTGGGAAGACTTGAAGACAATCTCATTGAGGTCGGACCTGATGCAAACCAAAGAAGGATCATCCAAAGGGTCTTCCACGGAGGCCTGGGTGTTTTCACGAGTGATCCCCATGTCTTTGCTATGCTCTGATGGGGATTTTCTTTTCATGCGGGTGTACGTTTTGTCTTGATTCTCCATGCCTGGCTCATTCTTCAAAAACCGTCCAAAGAACCAAATGAAAAATCCAAACCACACAAAAGCTATCAAACTTGGAACAAAAGCCATACACTTGACATCAAGGCTAGCCCCTGTGAACCTGCTGTGGAGGAACATGTCTCCTTCAACATAGGTCTTATTCGTATGAGGATTAGTGTGGTTGGACCTCCATTCCCAGGATAGCTTGGTTCTGTTCAAATCCTTTAAACTTTCTGAGTCTTTAACTGTATATATCTTCTGCCCTGGGCCAATATACTGTCCATATTCATGAGGCTTATAAAATATCTGATTCTTCCACATGTTAAGATCCAAAATCAAGACGAGAAAGATAATCCCATAGTTAAACCATTTACCTGCATTTAAAAAGAAATACTGCATATTAGTCAAAGGCCCATAATACTGCAATACAGTTTACTCCAATAAAAAGGAGATAATGGTATAATAATATAAATTGTTAATGTTTTAGACCTGTTAACAATTCATCTTTTTGAGAGTGCTATGCGGCCATTAAGTGAAAATTGGCAAAGGGAATTTTCTAAATGGATGGTAGGCATAAGAAAACATAACTGTAGGTCCCTCAGCCAGTAATATGTGGTATTTATATTAACCAGATTAAATCCCCTTGTTTTATAGGCTCCACAGGTTATATTCAAATTTGGGCCGATGTAGGTTACTCTCTAGAACATTTCACTTAATGTCTAGAAACAAAGTTCTGATAAAATTCTTAGGAAAGGCCAACCTATAATTCAATATCTCTTAGAGTTTTATAATAATGTCTGGGTGAGACATAAATCATTTTGCAATGCAAGCACAGCAGCATATCAATTGAATTCACATTGCTGTTTGCAGGTGACCTGTTGATTAAACCATTAGTTGATGTGATTCAGATCAATACTCCTTGAGCATTCACTTCAAGACATTAAAAATAACTACATCAAATTCTCATTGAACAGAATGCATTTATTAGACATATAAATATAACTACCCCTAATAGACTGTTTTAGAAGACATGAATTGGAGAGATCGTAACCATGATGTCTTTGTAGTGTTTTAAATTTTTATATAAATAAGATATTCTTAAAAGTCGTATTATCTAGTGATGTCTTTATTTCTACAAATGGAAAATGTGAAAAAAAACTTTCAAGGAATACTACATTCCATTGTAATTTTTATTATAATCACCATTTATAGCAAGTTTGACAATATCAAGTTTATCACAATAAAATAGCAATACCAACTCACAGATTTTCCATAGCAAATTAGATGACATATGAAACAGCTTCTAGAAGCTTTAGTTCTAATTATTTTTTGTATAATGCCAATTTTTTTATTTTGTACTTGAAGATAGTTTTGAATATTATTAAATTACTAATTCACCTGATTATAGAACTTTTTAGAAAGGAGAGAGGTATGATCTTGGGCAAACTTTCACTTGATCTTAGCCAAAAGGCCAAGAAGCAATAGGGCAAACTTTCTAAAACAAGAATGATAATGTATTTTGCAATATGTACTCTCACAGAATATATAGCTATATTAAAAGAAAACTTTGTGAGGAGTTTAGGAAAATATTTTATCATCATCATTACACATTTTCAAGTTCCTATTACATACATGCAAGGTTGAAGAGTTTTAATCCTGGCTCTATTTAAATTCTCTAAGCCCCGATTTCTTTGCATGCAGAAAATAATAGTACTTATTAAAGCTGTTTCATTTTTCATGAAATTATTAAATGCTAAGTACAGTGCCTAGTGTAATAGGTATTCCATAATTGTTCCTTTTATTATCATTAAAGCCTTGCCTAAGCCATGATAATGTCTTCATTTGCATGAGATGGTACAATTTTTCTCTATGAAGAAAGTTTATGTAAACTATATGAAGGGGCATTATAACTCTGTGCCTGTTTTGAGATTATTCAACTTTATAGGGTTTATAATATTTATAATGGAAGCTCTTGCTTGAATGAATTATTTTGCACACCTAAATTAGAAAGTAGGTTGGAACACTGGAAACATTTCCAGATATGATAAGACATCTACAATGTCTGGCACTGTGAAGTTCAAGCCACTCATGCCCTCCTGGATCTTCAAACCTGAAACTAATTCTCACTAAGAATCAACCAGAAACAAATACAGGAAACTAAAGCCAGAAAAATGCAATCAAGTACAAAGGTGAGCATCATTACCAAATATCTACTGTGCTCATAATAGACTCTGCTTAGGATACCTTAGGAAATGCTGAGACATATGTTTCTGCCTTCAGAGGAGAAACCCATCATCTTGTTAGACAAACAGGATAGAGACATCAATAGATAAAAAAATAAATAAATAAGAAGCCACATTTGAGAGGTGCCCAATGAATGATCAAACCATAAATGCTGAAGATGTTGAGAAAATGGAATAAAAACTGAAGGCTAATTTCTATAGAAAGGATTTTGAAAGAAGTAGTAACACATGTGATCCCTGAAAGAAAAGCAGGATAGAGAGCAGTTTAGAAACTTCCTCATTTCTTTTAGTTTGTTTGACTATGCTGTAGATAGAACAGCATACAAAAAAAAAGTCAGGTCATGTGGGGGAAAAAGGAGGCTGAGAGGAGAGAGAAGAAAAAGAATGAAGAATACTGCAAGAAAGAAAGGCAGGAGATGAATGAGCAATGGAATGATTTTTCATCCAGTGTTCAGGAGGTAGGGATGTACAGCTTCCATGATAGAAAGCAAGTTGAGAGGCGCTCTGGGTGCTTCTCTGCTGTAGATTTCTACTTGTTCCCTTGCTGTGAATTCTATGTGTTTCAAAGCCAGAATGAATGATGGGGGGAAGAGGTCCTTGAACTTGGATGACTGATCATCACCTTCTTGATTCACAATGGGCCCTTGGAGAGCCTTGTTCCCCCTCTAGGTCATCTTGATAAACTCCTGAACAGGGCAAGGGCCTCCATAAAGAGGCCTGTTTCTATGGTGATGACAGGAGATCAGAAACTGAAGATAAGCAGCAGCACAGAATCAGGGAGAAGAAAGGGATGCCCATAGAGCTTGGAGAAAAGTGCTTTTCTGGTGGGGAAAAGATGCTCAGCAAATGTTTCAAGACAAAGGAAAAAACAAAAACAAAAAAAGTCAGAGAATAAAAATGGAGTTATGGCCCAACCAGCTTGGCGCAGTGGATAGAACAGTGGCCTGGAGACTGAAGGGCCCCAGGTTAGATTTCAGTCAAGAGCACATGCCCAGGTTGCAGGCTCGATCCCCAGTAGAGGGCGTGCAAGAGGCAGCCAACCAATGATTCTCATCATAATGTTTCTCTCCCTCTTCCTTCCTCTCTGAAATCAATAGAAATATATATATTTTAAAAAGTCAATCCTTTAAAAAAAAATGGAGCTATGTACACTGATCACACTAGGAAACCTTGAAGATAGAAAGAGCTATTTTTCCTACTTTAAAATTATTTTTCTACCATCTCAGACAAATGGTGCTGGGTCATTTTGACCACTAAAGTTTGACACTGAAGAATCCCTGTACGTTATTTCTTATGCGACCTGAAGTCTGAATATTTAGATGGGATTGAAGGGAAGCACATTAAAAATGCATCAGTTAATGGGTACCATCACCCTGCTCTCACACATCTTTACCCATTTGTGAGAGGGAATACCCTAGTGACAAAAGTTGCAGGCTGGAAATCGGCAGATGGAGATTTCATTCTAATGCTGAACTTGAATAATACAGCCTTGAGTAACCTGTTTAACCTCTCCAGACCTCAATATTTTATTTTCAAATTGAGGACATTGAACTATATACCTTCAAGTTTTATGATTTTTCTCCTCTTTTCCCAAATCCTTCTACTCACTAGCTCTGTGATTTCAATTTTTTTTTTTATTCTATGAAGTGGAGAATAATACCAATGTAACTGCATCAAAGGATTATTGTGAGGATAAAATGAGAAGTTATTATTTGAAGTTCTCTGAAATATATTGTTTGCCAAAAATCTAGGGTAGTATTATTTTTACAATTCCTTTACTTCTTTAACCCAGTTACTATAGGATCTCAGTGGCAGAGCAGAGGAAGAAAAGAGTATATAAGGGTTTGTAACAAAGATTAAAGGTGACCAGTTTGGGTAAAATAGAATGAATCACTGTGTACTGACATTATTGTGCAGATATTAGTAGGCCAGTTACCTAAGAGGACCCAATGTGTAGCTATATGAAAATACTAGAGGCTTGTTGCACAATATTTGTGCAAGAATAGGCCTTCCTTCCCCTAGGTTCACTCCAGGCTGCCTAGGAGCCTGCAAGCTCTCACTCCTAGCTGGAGCTCCTTCCGCCATTCCCCTATTCTCATAGCAGGCATCCCACCCTCCTGGCCGCTCTGTGCCTGTATGTGCAAATTAACCTGCCATCTTTGTTGGGTTGATTTGCATACCCACTCCTGATTGGCTGTGGGCATAGCAGTGGTACAGTCAATTTACATGCTTGTTTATTATTAGTTAAGATGCTCTGTGAATCATCATATTTAACATGTTAAAAACCTGTAACAATTGGTCACTGTTCTATAGGTTGCAGCAGTATTGCTCTTGAGCAAAGGTCTTGTACATACACATATGTTGAGGCTACAGGACAGGAGATAGTGCCTTACTGCCCACCCCAGAAAAGAGGCCATGCTGAGATGAGAAAGCACAGAGGGCAGAGAGGAGACTGAGTAGCATGCTTAGTGATATATTTCATTATTCTATGGCTATAGCATTGTCCTTCCCTTCACTGTCATAGCCATTCAGCCAAAACTTGAAGTTTCTGAAAATTTAGAAGAAATGGCTCCTCTTACTTTTTGTTTATTTCCAGACTGTTTGGTGTGACTTCTGGTCCTACTATCAATTTGTAGAGAGAAAGAATGTCTATCTTTCTCTAACATCCATCCTTACATTTTTTCACACAGTGTTTGTTACATTGGTAGTGCTTTCTCCTCTTAAAAAAACACAAAACTGCTTTTGCCCTATGAGATGTGGTAAACCCGAGCAAAACCTGCTGGGACAACTCAACCTTGCTGTTCTTGTCTATAAGGTGAGGGAATTGAGCTATATAATCCTTACTAGTGACCCAGTGCATGAAATTCATGCACATTAAAAGGGAATTGATTAAAGGAAATATTTTAATATTGCTATTTGCCCTTTCTCTATAATAGAAATGTCAGAGATGAAAGAAAATTAGTAAAATGTATATAAAAATCTTCCTCCTGTCAGACTCTGAGTCATGTCATGGGAACCAGTGTCAAGTCTCCGCCCACCCACATGAGCCTCGAAATCACACAAAACCCAGTCCCAGCCAGCCCTACCCCAATTGGGCTAGATCCAGACCCAGACAGCCCCAGCCTTATCAA